AGTACAGTCTGACATCTGACACCGTCTTCGTCGAAGCTCCGGCAACCGCCCCCCCCCCCCGAAGCGCGGGGCCCGGGGCAGTCGCCCCGATTCGCCGTACCCTAGAGACGGCTTTGTGTTGTCTCACCTCCACGCGGTGTCTAACTCACACCTCGTGTGTCACCTGTACACGAGTCTCACCTCCAAGCGGTGTCGAACTCACACCTCGTGTGTCACCTGTACACGAGTCTCACCTCCACGCGGTGTCTAACTCACACCCCGTGTGTCACCTGTACACGTGACTCACCTCTAAGCGGTGTCTAACTCACACCTCGTGTGTCACGTGTACACGTGACTCACCTCTGCGCGGTGTCTAACTCACACCTCGTGTGTCACCTGTACACGAGTCTCACCTCTAAGCGGTGTCTAACTCACACCTCGTGTGTCACGTGTACACGAGTCTCACCTCTAAGCGGTGTCTAACTCACACCCCGTGTGTCACGTGTACACGTGACTCACCTCCACGCGGTGTCTAACTCACACCTCGTGTGTCACCTGTACACGAGACTCACCTCCACGCGATGTCTAACTCACACCTCGTGTGTCACCTGTACACGAGTCTCCCCTCTACGCGGTGTCTAACTCACGCCTCGTGTGTCACGTGTACACGAGTCTCATCTCCAAGCAGTGTCTAACTCACACCCCGTGTGTCACCTGTACACGAGTCTCATCTCCAAGCGGTGTCTAACTCACACCTCGTGTGTCACCTGTACACGAGTCTCCCCTCTATGCGGTGTCGAACTCACACCTCGTGTGTCACGTGTACACGAGTCTCATCTCCAAGCGGTGTCTAACTCACACCTCGTGTGTCACCTGTACACGTGACTCACCTCTACGCGATGTCTAACTCACACCTCGTGTGTCACCTGTACACGAGTCTCACCTCCACGCGGTGTCTAACTCACACCTCGTGTGTCACCTGTACACGTGACTCACCTCCACGCAGTGTCTAACTCACACCTCGTGTGTCACGTGTACACGTGACTCACCTCTACGCGATGTCTAACTCACACCTCGTGTGTCACCTGTACACGAGTCTCACCTCCACGCGGTGTCTAACTCACACCTCGTGTGTCACCTGTACACGTGACTCACCTCCACGCAGTGTCTAACTCACACCTCGTGTGTCACGTGTACACGTGACTCACCTCTACGCGGTGTCTAACTCACACCTCGTGTGTCACCTGTACACGAGTCTCACCTCCACGCAGTGTCTAACTTACACCCCCGTTCAGCCCCGAGGGCACTTAGGGACCCCGTTGGCCCTGGGGGAAGAGGCGCTTGCTGAGAGGGTCAGGGGGGAGGGGGCGGCGGTGGGTGGGGGGGGGGACAGCCAGGAGCCCCGGGGCGAGGACGCACGCGGACAGGGGTCGGAGGCGCGAGAGGCCCCGCGAACAAAGGGGCTCCTGTGCCCACGTGGGGTCCGATACAGCCCGGCCCGGTCACGCCGCTGCTCATGTGATAGCCCTCGGGGGGAGGGGGGCTACAGACCCCCACGACCCTCCAACGCGCCTATCCTCGGGCCCCCCTCTATCCCCGCCGCCTCGGCGTGGGAAGGCGCCAGAGAAGTCGGAGGGGGTCCCCTGCCCCCCCCCCCTCTCTAAGAACGCGAGACACGGCGAGCGGGCCCCGTGCCGACAGCGTAGAGAGACGGAGTGGCCCACGGGGTACTGGCAAGGCAGAGGTCACCGGCGCAATCTCCCGTCGCGGCAGTAGAAACAACGGCGCGAGTTCCTTACTGCCCCAACCCCGTCCCGCCGGCTCCTGTCCACCCGGCAGATGTAATGGGATCACCGTTAGTTGGCGTCTTGACGGGGTGTCAAGTGTGGGTATCCGCCGACGTCTTCCAAGACCTCGTGGCCAGCGTTGAACCCCCGGCCCAACGCCACTCGAGATGGGCCTCTCGCGAGCTCCCTCTCGCCAAGCAGCTTCCGCTGGCAGAGGCGTCGAGCGCGCCGTTGCAGGAGCTGCGCCTGAGCCGCTCGACCCAAGAGCCGGCGTCGTTGGCGCCGACGGAGGAGAGCGCGGAGCGAACACCGAGCAGTGCGTAAAAGTAGCGCCTGGAACGACACCGAGAGGAGGTGGAGGAGGTAGAGGAGGTAGAGGAGGAGGTGGAGGAGGTGGAGGAGGAGGAGAAGGTGGAGGAGGAGGTGGTGGAGGTGGAGGAGGTGGAGGAGGTGGTGGAGGAGGTGGAGGAGGAGGTGGAGGAGGTGGAGAAGGAGGTAGAGGAGGTGGAGGAGGTGGAGGAGGTAGAGGAGGTGGAGGAGGTGGCGGAGGAGGTGGAGGAGGTGGAAGAGGAGGTGGAGGAGGATGTGGAGGATGTGGAGGAGGTGGAGGAGGAGGCACGCGCGAAGTCGACCATGAGACGACGCCTCCACTGGGGCCTGCCGAGAGAAGCCCCGCGGGTGACGTCGGAACACAGCGTTTGTGCCAGGCTAGGTGCACTTTGAGACCGTCGCGTGAAGCGTGGGAGGCTGTCGCTGCTGGCAGCAAGCAGGAGGTGCCATGAGTTGGCCGACTGAGACGAGCGGCAGTGTGTGTCTGTGCTGTGTGTGTGTTGGACTTCTTTCGCACCGTACGGAGCCAACCGCGCTAATCGGAAGTGCGGAGGAAGGACAACAGACTACCACACAAACAGCAGGGAGAGTGAGGGTCACGGGTGAGGGATGGTGAGGGTCACGGGTGAGGGATGGTGAGGGTCACGGGTGAGGGATGGTGAGGATTAGGGGTGAGGGATGGTGAGGGTTAGGGGTGAGGAATGGTGAGGGTCACGGGTGAGGGATGGTGAGGGTCACGGGTGAGGGATGGTGAGGATTAGGGGTGAGGGATGGTGAGGGTTAGGGGTGAGGAATGGTGAGGGTCAGGGGTGAGGGATGGTGAGAGTCACGGGTGAGGGATGGTGAGGGTCACGAGTGAGGGATGGTGAGGGTCACGGGTGAGGGATGGTGAGGATTAGGGTGAGGGATGGTGAGGGTTAGGGGTGAGGGATGGTGAGGGTCACGGGTGAGGGATGGTGAGGGTCACGGGTGAGGGATGGTGAGGGTCACGGGTGAGGGATGGTGAGGGTCACGGGTGAGGGATGGTGAGGGTCACGGGTGAGGGATAGTGGGGGTCAGGGGTGAGGGATGGTGAGGGTCACGGGTGAGGGATGGTGAGGGTCACGGGTGAGGGATGGTGAGGGTCACGGGTGAGGTATGGTGAGGGTCACGGGTGAGGGATGGTGAGGGTCACGGGTGAGGGATAGTGAGGGTCAGGGGTGAGGGATGGTGGGGGTCAGGGGTGAGGGATGGTGAGGGTCACGGGTGAGGGATGGTGAGGGTCACGGGTGAGGGATAGTGAGGGTCAGGGGTGAGGGATGGTGAGGGTTAGGGGTGAGGGATGGTGAGGGTCAGGGGTGAGGGATGGTTAGGGTCAGGGGTGAGGGATGGTGAGGGTCAGGGGTGAGGCTGTAGCATTTGTTAGGGAAGGGCTGGTGACAGGTTGAGGAGTTATATACAGTGTGTGGGAGATGTGGTGGGGAGATGGTCACGTGGGAGATGTGGTGGGGAGATGGTCACGTGGGAGGTGTGGTGAGGAGATGGTCACGTGGGAGGTGTGATGAGAAGATGGCCACGTGGGAGGTGTGATGAGGAGATGGTCACGTGGGAGGTGTGGTGAGGAGATGGTCACGTGGTAGGTGTGGTGGGGAGATGGTCACGTGGGAGATGTGGTGAGGAGCTGGTCACGTGGGAGATGTGGTGGGGAGATGGTCACGTGGGAGGTGTGGTGAGGAGATGGTCACGTGGGAGGTGTTGTGAGGAGATGGTCACGTGGGAGGTGTGGTGAGAGATGGTCACGTGGTAGGTGTGGTGAGGAGATGGTCACGTGGGAGATGTGGTGAGGAGATGGTCACGTGGGAGATGTGGTGAGGAGATGGTCACGTGGGAGATGTGCTGGGGAGATGATCACGTGGGACATGTGGTGAGGAGTATGTGGGGTGGCTCTACGATTTGGGAGGCACAACTCTGACACTTGCAAGATGTAGGGAAGCATTCGCGTCCCGGTCAAGTTGCTTTCTGCTTGGGCATCGCACGTCAACCACGTCGTGTCGATAAAACCGGCAGCGCGTCGCTGTGGCCACACTTGAACCTCGCATCACGAAGCGCCTGGGTTCAATTCTTGACACGGGCTCCCCTATTTGCGTGGTGTTTGTATGTTCCACCCCCCCCACCCCCTCCAGAAGCTAAAAAAGCGCCCTCACGCAATGTAGATGCGTGGGGAGAACAAACGAACACCGCCTTGTGACTGACTCCTCGTCATAGCTGACGATGAAGAAGAGGTGGTGGTGGGTGGTGGTGGGTGGGGTGGTGGTAGGTGGTGGGTGGTGGTGGGTGGTGGTGGTGGTTGGTGGTGGTGGGTGGTGGTGGGTGGTGGTGGGTGGGTGGTGGTGGGTGGGTGGTGGTGGTGGTGGTGGTAGTGGTGGGTGGTGGTGGGTGATGGTGGGTGGTGGTGGGTGGTGGTGGTGGGGGTCCCAGTGTTTCGCTGTGAGAAAACCACGTGCGGCTAGGAGGACGGTGGCGAGGAGGAGTGGGAGGGGAACGAGGGGACAGGGAGACGCGATGTGGGTAGAACGAGGGGAATGAGGTGAGGCGACCGTGAAAGGCGACGAGGGGAAGGGGTTCGGGGTGACGAGGTGGAGAGAACGAGGAGAGGGGATTGGAGGCGTGGGGATGAGGATGAGGAGGGCGAGGTGATGCCCGGAGGAGACGTCATCGGTCACTGCCCCTGTACAGATCACGTCCCGGGGGCGCGCACTGCACAGAGACCACCACCCCTCACACCCCCCTGATCCCCCCCCACCTCACACCCCCCTGATCCCCCCACACCCCTCACACCCCCCCCCCCATCTCCCTCCCCCATCTCACCCAACCCCCCTCCTCCTTCCAAAACCCCCGCGCCTCCCCGGGACCCACACATTGCGCATGGCGCCCACGCCTCCTGCTCCTGCTGCTGCTCGGCTGATGACGATGTCGATGTCGGGGCTGCTGCTGATGATGATGCTGCTGATGATGTTGAGCTGCCTCGGGGCGCAGGCGGTGACCCTCCACGACACCGGCGCAACGCCGGCCCCCCAAATGGGGGTCACCACCACCTCCGCCGAGGAACCCCCGATCCTTCGCTCAACCGTGCACCCGACGGCAACCAGAATCATCGCCATCGCCAAGGGCAACGGCAGCAGCAGCAGCAGCAATAGCAGCGACGTCGTTAGCAGCGGCAGCTTCGGCAACATCGTCAGCGGCGTCAGCGGCGGCGTCGGCGGCGGCGGCGGCGTCCCCCGGGCCCCGGGGAACGGTCTCGCGCACGAGGCCCCCCGCCGTGGAGAGCCCCGTGTGCGCGCCAGCTGGAGATCCGTCGCACGTTCAAGGCGGTGAACACGGCGGTGTCGAGCGCCGTGTTCGTGGTGGGCCTCGTGGGAAACGCCACGCTGCTCAGGATCATCTGGCGCAACAAGCGGATGCGCAACGGACCCAACGCGCTCATCGGCAGCCTGGCCCTGGGCGACCTCCTCTACATCGTCATCGCACTGCCCGTGTCGGTGTACAAGGCGAGATCTTCTCTCGCCGGTTGCGAGCTCACTCCTTGTCCTGCCCCCCCCCCCCCCCCGCATGATGTTGATGTTGTTGTTGTTGAAACTCGCAGTAGCGCAGTATGAGCAAAAACTCGCCGTGTATGGCGCAAGTTGGTGCCAGGCACGACACGTCTTGATTGGTCACCGGTAGGTGAGGTCAGAATTTGGTCGATAACATCGACGATGTGAATGTAGCCGTGATGGTGGTGGATGGTCAGTGACGAGAACTTGAGACCGCCACGTGGTCCAACCCGGTCACGAGGCGTGGATCGCGCTCGGGATGTCACCCCACGTGATTATGAGTGGCACACGGGCAGAGCCACCCCACGTGATCACGAGTGGCACACGGGCAGAGCCACCCCACGTGATCACGAGTGGCACAGGGCAGAGCCACCCCACGTGATCACGAGTGGCACACGGGCAGAGCCACCCCACGTGATCACGAGTGGCACACGGGCAGAGGCACCCCATGTGATCACGAGTGGCACACGGGCAGAGCCACCCCACGTGTTCACGACTTTCCGTGCGGTCGCGGTTCGCGCGGAGGGTGGGGGTTGGGTGGGAGAGTGATGAGGTGGGAGGGGAGGGTGGAGGTGGGGTGAGAGAGCGATGGGCGAGCTCACCGTTGTCGTTATCGCTCACGCGCCGTGTCTCCCCTGTCCACGCCTCACCGTCGGGACGCAGCTCCTGGCCGAGGATTGGCCGTTCGGCGTGGCACTCTGCAAGGCGGTGCCGTTCGTGCAGAAAGCGTCCGTGGGGATCACGGTGCTGAGTCTGTGCGCGCTCAGCGTGGACAGGTGCCCGCCCTCTCCTACCCGCTCACACACACACACGGGTTTACATACCCACTCGCTTACCTACCCACCCGCTCACTCACTTACCTATCTACACGCTCACACCTTCACTCACCTACACGCTCACACACACACGGGTTTACATACCCACTCACTCACTTATCTACTCGCTCACTCACTTACCTATCTACACACTCACACCTTCACTCACCTTCACGCTCACCTACCCACATACTCGGTTAGCCCACGAGTTTACCTACCTATTCGCCTATCTAGCCACTCACCTACTTACCTCCTCACTGAATCTACTACAATATTCACTAATCCACCTGCTTATTACCGATACATGGACAAAGATTCCCCGTATCGCCTTAACAGACTGTTGGGGCAAGTGCTGTTAGCGAGCACCTATGAAGGCCGGCACGGCACACGAGGGGGTGGGTGGCCAGCACCAAGCCCGGTCGCATTTGTCTCTCCAGTGGCGATGTTTACACACCGCACCGGGTATTCATTTGAGGCTGAGTCGACCTAGGGGAGGCCCAGGAGCGTTTCAGATAATCGTCACCGGTGTTGGAGCGGGAATCGAACTCGGGTCTCCAGGTTCGTAGCGCAGCGCGCTAACCGCTCCACTACCACTCACGTACTTACCTACCCACTCACCTACTCATCTACCCACTCACCTACTCATCTACCCACTCACCTACTCATTTACCCACTCACCTACTCATCTACCCACTCACCTACTCATCTACCCACTCGCCTACCCACTCACCTACTCATCTACCCACTCACGTACTTACCTACCCACTCACCTACCCACTCACCTACTCATCTACCCACTCACCTACTCATCTACCCACTCACCTACCCACTCACCTACTTACCTACCCACTCACCTACTCATCTACCCACTAACCTACTCATTTACCCACTCACCTACTCATCTACCCACTCACCTACTCATCTACCCACTCACCTACCCACTCACCTACTCACCTACCCACTCACCTACTCATCTACCCACTCACGTACTTACCTACCCACTCACCTACCCACTCACCTACTCATCCACCCACTCACCTACTCATCTATCCACTCACCTACTCATCTATCCACTCACCTACCCACTCACCTACTTACCTACCCACTCACCTACTCATCTACCCACTCACCTACTCATTTACCCACTCACCTACTCATCTACCCACTCACCTACTCATTTACCCACTCACCTACCCACTCACCTACTTACCTACCCACTGACCTACTCATCTACCCACTCACGTACTTACCTACCCACTCACCTACCCACTCACCTACTCATCTACCCACTCACCTACTCATCTACCCACTCACCTACTCATCTACCCACTCAACTACTCATCTACCCACTCACGTACTTACCTACCCACTCACCTACTCATTTACCCACTCACCTACTCATCTACCCACTCACCTACTCATCTACCCACTCACCTACTCATCTACCCACTCACCTACTCATCTACCCACTCACCTACTCATCTACCCACTCACGTACTTACCTACCCACTCACCTACCCACTCACCTTCTTATCTACCCACTCACCTACTCATCTACCCACTCACCTACTCATCTACCCACTCACCTACTCATCTACCCACTCACCTACTCATCTACCCACTCACCTACCCACTCACCTACTCATTTACCCACTTACCTACTCACTCACCTACTCATCTACCCACTCACCTACTCATCTACCCACTCACCTACTCATCTACCTACTCATCTACCCACTCACCTACTCACCTACCCAATCACCTACTTACCTACCCACTCACCTACTCATCTACCCACTCACCTACTCATCTACCTACTCATCTAGCCACTCACCTACTTACCTACCCACTCACCTACTCATCTACCCACTCATCTACCTACTCATCTACCCACTCACCTACCCACTCACCTACCCACTCATCTACACACTCACCTACCCACTCACCTACCCACTCATCTACCCACTCACCTACCCACTCACCTACCCCCCGCCACCACCCCCGCTATGCCGCAGGTACCGCGCCGTCGCGTCCTGGAGCCGCATCCAGGGCATGGGCGTGCCGCTGTGCACTCACCTACTCATCTACCCACTCACCTACTCATCTAACCACTCACCTACGCATCTACCCACTCACCTACCCACTCATCTACCCACTTACCTACCCACTTATCTACCCACTCATCTACCCACTCACCTACCCACTCATCTACCCATCTACCCACTCACCTACTCATCTACCCACTCACCTACTCATCTACCCACTCACCTACTCATCTACCCACTCATCTACCCACTCACCTACTCATATACCCACTCACGTACTTACCTACCCACTCATCTACTCATCTACCCACTCACCTACTCATCTACCCACTCACCTACCCTCTCATCTACCCACTCACCCACTCACCTACCCACTCACCTACCCACTCACCTACCCCCCCCCCCGCCACCCCCCCCCCCCCCCGCTATGCCGCAGGTACCGCGCCGTCGCGTCCTGGAGCCGCATCCAGGGCATGGGCGTGCCGCTGTGCACTCACCTACTCATCTACCCACTCACCTACTCATCTACCCACTCACCTACGCATCTACCCACTCACCTACCCACTCATCTACCCACTTACCTACCCACTTATCTACCCACTCATCTACCCACTCACCTACCCACTCATCTACCCATCTACCCACTCACCTACTCATCTACCCACTCACCTACTCATCTACCCACTCACCTACTCATCTACCCACTCACCTACTCATATACCCACTCACGTACTTACCTACCCACTCATCTACTCATCTACCCACTCACCTACTCATCTACCCACTCACCTACCCTCTCATTTACCCACTCACCTACCCACTCACCTACCCACTCACCTACCCCCCCCCGCACCCCCCCCCCCCGCTATGCCGCAGGTACCGCGCCGTCGCGTCCTGGAGCCGCATCCAGGGCATGGGCGTGCCGCTGTGCACTCACCTACTCATCTACCCACTCACCTACTCATCTACCCACTCACCTACGCATCTACCCACTCACCTACCCACTCATCTACCCACTTACCTACCCACTTATCTACCCACTCATCTACCCACTCACCTACCCACTCATCTACCCATCTACCCACTCACCTACTCATCTACCCACTCACCTACTCATCTACCCACTCACCTACTCATCTACCCACTCATCTACCCACTCACCTACTCATATACCCACTCACGTACTTACCTACCCACTCATCTACTCATCTACCCACTCACCTACTCATCTACCCACTCACCTACCCTCTCATCTACCCACTCACCCACTCACCTACCCACTCACCTACCCACTCACCTACCCCCCCCGCCACCCCCCCCCCCCCCCCCCCCCCCCCCCGCTATGCCGCAGGTACCGCGCCGTCGCGTCCTGGAGCCGCATCCAGGGCATGGGCGTGCCGCTGTGCACGGCGCTGGAGATCGCCGCCATCTGGCTGCTCTCGCTGCTGCTCGCGGCGCCCGAGGCCGTCGGCTTCGACCTCCTCGTCTCCGAGTACCGCGGCGTCACCCTGCGGACCTGCATGCTCGCGCCGCAGCAGAGCGGCGCCTTCATGCGCGTGCGTGTGCTGCGTGTGGCGCGCGGTGACACTGGCACAGTGCAACTGACAGTGACACACTGACACAGTGACACGGTGACACTGGCACAGTGCAACTGACAGTGACACACTGACACAGTGACACGGCCTTCATGCGCGTGCGTGTGCTGCGTGTGGCGCGCGGTGGCACTGGCACAGTGACACGGTGACACACTGACACAGTGAAACTGACACAGTGAAACTGACAGAGTGACACACTGGCACGGTGACACGGTGACACTGGCACAGTGAAACTGACAGAGTGACACACTGACACGGTGACACGGTGACACTGACACAGTGAAACTGACAGAGTGACACACTGACACGGTGACACGGTGACACTGGCACAGTGAAACTGACAGAGTGACACACTGACACACTGACACGGTGACACTGACACAGTGAAACTGACAGTGACACACTGACACGGTGACACTGACACAGTGAAACTGACAGTGACACACTGACACGGTGACACGGTGACACTGACACAGTGAAACTGACAGAGTGACACACTAAAACGGTGACACTGACACAATGAAACTGACAGTGACACATTCACACGGTGACACTGACACAGTGAAACTGACAGTGACACACTGACACGGTGACACTGACACAGTGAAACTGACAGAGTGACACACTGACACGGTGACACGGTGACACGGTGACACTGACACAGTGAAACTGACACACTGACACACTGACACGGTGACACGGTGACACTGACACAGTGAAACTGACAGAGTGCCACACTGACACGGTGACACTGACACAGTGAAACTGACACACTGACACGGTGACACGGTGACACGGTGACACTGACGCACAGCTTGAGCCACGCACCACACACAGCAGGCCGTGTCACACCTCACCACGATCCCGGCACGACACCAAGCACCACCCCGCCCGTGCCCCCCGCCCCCCGCCCCCCGCCCCGCTCCCCCCGCCCCCCGCCCCCCAGGTGTACAAGGTGGCCAAGGACTGGTGGCTGCTGGGCTTCTACTACTGCATGCCGCTCGCCTGCACCGGCGCCTTCTACTCGCTCATGGCGTGCGAGATGCTGAGCCGGAAGCGCGGAGACCTCCGCCTCTCGCTCAGCGACCACCTCAAGCAGGTGCAGCGCCGTGGTGGTGGTGCTGGTGGCGGTGGTGGTGGTGGTGGCGGTGGTGGTGGCGGTGGTGTTATTGGTGGTGGCAGCGGTGGTGGTGGTGGTGGCGGTGGTGGTGGTGGCGGCGGTGGCGGCGGTGGCGATGGTGGTGGCGGCGGTGGTGGTGGTGGTGGTGGCGGTGGCGGTGGTGGCGGTGGTGGCGGCGGTGGCGATGGTGGTGGCGGCGGTGGGGGCGGTGGTGGCGGCGGTGGTGGTGGCGATGGCGGTGGTGGTGGTGGCGGCGGTGGCGGCAGTGGGGGTGGTGGCGGCAGTGGGGTGGTGGTGGTGGTGGCGGTGGCGGCGGTGGCGATGGCGGCGGCGGCAGTGGGGGCGGTGGCGGCGGTGGCGGCGGTGGCGGCGGTGATGGTGGCGGCGGTGGGGGTGGCGGCGGTGGGGGCGGTGGTGGCGGCGGTGGCGATGGTGGTGGCGGCGGTGGGGGTGGTGGTGGCGGCGGTGGTGGTGACGATGGCGGTGGTGGTGGCGGCGGCGGTGGCGGCGGTGGCGGCGGTGGCGGCGGCGGTGGTGGCGATGGCGGTGGCGGTGGTGGCGATGGCGGTGGTGGTGGTGGCGGCGATGGTGGTGGCGGCGGTGGGGGCGGTGGGGGCGGTGGTGGCGGCTGTGGCGGCGGTGGCGGCGGTGGCGGCGGTGGTGGCGGCGGTGGTGGAGGCGGTGGTGGCGGTGGTGGTGGTGGTGGCGGCGGTGGTGGTGGAGGCGGTGGTGGCGGTGGTGGTGGTGGAGGCGGTGGTGGCTGTGGCGGTGGTGGTGGTGGTGGCAGTGGTGGCGGTGGCAGTGATGGTGGCGGTGGCGGTGGTGGTGGTGGTGGCGGTGGTGGTGGCGATGGAGGCGGTGGTGGTGGTGGTGGTGGTGGCGGTGGTGGTGGTGATGGGGGCGGTGGTGGTGGTGGTCGTAGTGGTGGCGGTGGTGGTGGAGGCGGTGGCGGTGGGGGCGGTGGTGGTGGTGGTTTGGCAATGGTGGTTCTCGATCTGGTACTGATGGTTCGGTATCTGGATCTGATGTTTTTGTATCTGGTACTGGCGGACCTGTATCTCGTTATGGTGGTTCGGTATCTGGTTCTGGTGGTTCGGTATCTGGTTCTGGTGGTTCGGTATCTCGTGCTGATGGATCGGTATCTGGTACTGGTGGGTCTGTATCTAGTTATAGCGGTTCTGTATCTGCCCCCGTGTGGTCCTGATTATTTTCTGTCTGGTTCTGGTGCGTGGTTATTGTGGCAGGGTTGTTATTGTGTGTGGTGATTGTGTGTGGTGATTGTGTGTGGTGATTGTGTGTGGTGATTGTGTGTGGTGATTGTGTGTGGTGATTGTGTGTGGTGATTGTGTGTGGTGGTGAGATGTTAACGTTCTCGCCTGGTATACAGGTGGTCGTTGGTTCGACCCCAACCCTGACGCCTGCTGTATATTTGGAGTTTGCGTGTTCTCCCCGTGGTCGTGTGGATTTTTCTCCAGGTCCTCCGGTTTTTCCCTCCACACTTAGAAACACGCTGTTTGAGTATTTGGCTGCTCGACATTTCCGCATGATGATAAGCCACTTCGTGGAGCTATCATTTGTGCAAGCTGGCTGGTAAAATAGCCATACAGCTCAGTGGGCCTTACCTGGTAACATAAACAAATGTTTTTAGATTTTATAGTTTATTGTGCCTGTGTGTGTGTGTGGTGACTGTGTGTGTGTGGTGGTTGTGGTTGTGTGTGTGTGGTGATTGTGTGTGTGTGTGGTGATTGTGGCTGTGTGTGTGTGTGGTGACTGTGTGTGTGTGTGGTGATTGTGGTTGTGTGTGTGGTGATTGTGATTGTGACTGTGTGTGGTGATTGTGTGTGCGTGGTGATTGTGTGTGTGTGTGGTTATTGTGTGTGTGTGTGGTGATTGTGGTTGTGTGTGTGGGGATGTGACTGTGTGTGTGAGGTCTCACTCCGAATCAGTTGAGCGGCAATATCTTTTCATCGGTTGCGTAACGCTGTGTGGAAGCTACCTGGTCTGTCGCTCCGCACGAAGCTTCAGGTCTTCTCGGCCACGGTCATTCATTCCCTCCCTTCTCTACGCTTGCGAAACGTGGACTCCCCTAATGGAGCATCTTCGCCGGTTGGAAACATTTAGGCTGGCCTGCCTACGATCCATCCTGGGTTTAACCAGGCTGGATTGTGTGAGGAGCTCACAAATCCTTGAAAGATCTGGGCAAAGTCCCATCGGTGAGCTCCTCCGATAGGCAAGGTTGCGTTGGCTGGGTCATGTAGCCCGCATGCCCAGCCACCGCATGCCTAAACAGCTTTTGTTCGGCCGGATCGAGGGGGCTAAACGGGCGCGGCACGGGCTAGAGAAGAGATGGAGTCATGTGGTACAGGAGGACGTGGAGCTGAGTGGACTTGCCGATGACTGGTACCAGCGGTGTCAAGATCGGCCTCAGTGGAGGAGGCTCGTGAAGGACACTACTGGGCAGTTGGAGGCAGTCGCCCTACAACAACAACGGAGGGCGGAGGAGCGACGCTCACAACAACGAGCGGAGCGCCGGGTGGCTAAAGCACAGCAAGTTGGTACAGTAGGGGGCAAAGGTGGTACATCAGCCAGTCATCTCGGTCATCTCGGTCAGTCGACCCGTGGCACCTGCTGGGTCTGCCCCGTGACCTCCTGCCAGCGGGCGTTCGACACTTCACGTGGCCTCAAGGTGCACTGGGCCTGGCACAAGCGTCGTGGTGACGTCACCGCCACTTAGTGGCGAATGGCGGTTGTTGTGTGTGACTGTGTGTGTGTGACTGTGTGTGTGTGTGACTGTGTGTGTGTGTGACTGTGTGTGTGTGTGGCTGTGTGTGTGACTGTGTGTGTGTGGTGAGTGCAGCGACGCGAGGTCGCCAAGACGGTCTTCTGCCTGGTGTTGGTGTTCGCCGTCTGCTGGTTCCCGCTGCACCTGAGCCGCACGCTCAAGAACTCCGTCTACAGCGCCGTGGACCCGGGTCGCTGCGACCTCCTCAGGTCTCCCCCCACCCTCCCCTCCCACCTCATCACTCTCCCACCCCACCTCCACCCTCCCCTCCCACCTCATCACTCTCACCCCACCTCCACCCTCCCCTCCCACCTCATCACTCTCACCCCTCCCCCACCCTCCCCTCCCACCTCATCACTCTCTCACCCCACCTCCACCCTCCCCTCTCACCTCATCACTCTCACCCCCTCCCCACCCTCCCCTCCCACCTCATCACTCTCTCACCCCACCTCCACCCTCCCCTCTCACCTCATCACTCTCACCCCACCTCCACCCTCCCCTCCCACCTCATCACTCTCTCACCCCACCTCCACCCTCCCCTCTCACCTCATCACTCTCACCCCACCTCCACCCTCCCCTCCCACCTCATCACTCTCCCACCCCACTTCCACCCTCCCCTCCCACCTCATCACTTTCCCACCCCACCTCCACCCTCCCCTCCACCTCATCACACTCCCACCCCACCTCCACCCTCCCCTCCACCTCATCACACTCCCACCACCCCACCTCCACCCTCCCCTCCACCTCATCACTCTCTCACCCCACCTCCACCCTCCCCTCCACCTCATCACCACTCTCCACCACCACCTCCACCCCTCCCCTCCCACCCTCACACTCTCTCACCCCACCTCCTACCCTCCCTCCACCTCATCACACTCACCCCACCCCACCTCCACCCCACTCCACCCCTCCCCCACCTCATCACCTCCCACCCCACCTCCACCCTCCCCCCTCCCACCTCATCACTCTCTCACCCCACCTCTACCCTCCCCTCCACCTCATCACACTCCCACCCCACCTCCACCCTCCCCTCCCACCTCATCACTCTCTCACCCCACCTCCACCCTCCCCTGCCACCTCATCACTCTCCCACCCCACCTCCACCCTCCCCTCCCACCTCATCACTCTCTCACCCCACCTCCACCCCTCCCCTGCCCCCTCATCACTCCCACCCACCTCCACCTCCCCTCCCACCTCATCACTCTCTCACTCCACCTCCACCCTCCCCTCCCACCTCATCGCTCTCCCACCACCTCCCCACTCTCACACCTCATCGCTCACCCTCCTCCCCGCTCTCTTGCCCGCTCTCTCCCCACTTCCTCTTCCCTCTCTCCCACTTCCTCCCCGCTCTCCCCCCTCGTCACTCTCCCACCCGCCGTCACCCTCCCCTCCCACCTCACCGCTCTCCCTCTCCCCCCTTCTCTCTCCTACACTGTGGACACCCCTCGCTGGGGTCCCGCGCAAGACCCCAGCACTCCTTGCCACAACACCCACTGCCCCCCCCCCCCCACTCTCTGGGGGGATGACCCCAGGGTGAGGCTTTTGACCCGAGTGCGGTCCAGGGGTCATGTCCTGGACTCACCCAGAATTAAGAGCCCCTCCCTACCCCCCTGCCCCCCCTCCTTCGTCAGGAAGTGCTCTCTGTGACCCCCAGTTTTGTGCCACAGCTCCCTGCTGGTGCTGGACTACGTGGGGGTGAACATGACCTGCATCAACTCCTGCATCAATCCCATCGCCCTCTACCTGGTGAGCAAGAGATTCAAGAACTGCTTCAAGGTGAGCAGCCACGACTTATCCCGCCAGGCTCACCCCGGGCTCACTCACCCCGGGCTCACTCACCCATGGCTCACTCGGACTCACTCACCCCGGGCTCACTCACCCCGGGCTCACTCACCCCGGGCTCACTCGGACTCACTCACCCATGGCTCACTCACCCATGGCTCACTCGGACTCACTCACCCATGGCTCACTCGGACTCACTCACCCCGGGCTCACTCACCCCGGGCTCACTCACCCATGGCTCACTCACCCCGCCCGGCTCACCCTGGGCTCACTCACCCCGGGCTCACTCACCCATGGCTCACTCAGACTCACTCACCCCGGGCTCACTCACCCCGGGCTCACTCACCCCGGGCTCACTCGGACTCACTCACCCATGGCTCACTCACCCCGGGCTCACTCGGACTCACTCACCCATGGCTCACTCACCCATGGCTCACTCGGACTCACTCACCCATGGCTCACTCACCCATGGCTCACTCGGACTCACTCACCCATGGCTCACTCACCCATGGCTCACTCGGACTCACTCACCTATGGCTCACTCACCCATGGCTCACTCGAACTCACTCACCCACGGCTCACTCACCCATGGCTCACTCGGACTCACTCACCCATGGCTCACTCACCCATGGCTCACTCGGACTCACTCACCCCGGGCTCACTCACCCATGGCTCACTCACCTATGGCTCACTCGGACTCACTCACCCCGGGCTCACTCACCCCGGCTCACTCACCCATGGCTCACTCGGGCTCACTCACCCCGGGCTCACTCATTCATGGCTCACTCGGACTCACTCACCCAGTCACAGTATCAGTACCACACTCCCCCTGTCTCACTCGCCAGTTGCCACGTGACTTTAAAAACAACAACAACAACTCGAGTTAATTCTGACAGTGTCGTCTTAAGATCGATCATGAACTTTAGCAGCCGGGTAGTGGTTGGTGGCTACGCTGCACGCGGTCCCCGTGATCCACAACTGTGGAGTCAGCAGGGAGGGGTTGTTGGATCACCACGCAGATGCTACTCTTTGGTTCTTTCGGTAAAGTCACGTAGATAAAACATAATAATAAAGTGAATTAAAAAATTGAATATATATAAATAATAAACACTAACAAAAAACACTAATGTAGACTGTAGCCTGGTTCTTTATCGGAGTGAGGGTACTGGCAATCTATAATGTGGACTGTAGCCTGGTTATCAAGTCTGGTGAGTGTACTAGTAGTCTACATCATAGACTACCAGTACTCTCACCAAACTTAATAATCAGGCTACAGTCCACATTATAGACTGCCAGTACCCTCACTCCGATGAAGAACCAGGCTACAGTCCACATTAGTGTTTTTTTATTATTTGTATTCACTTTTTTTTCTACGTGACTTTACCGAAAGAACCAAAGAATATAAATTCCTGCAGTCACGAAAGTTTTAAGTCAAAATTTCCCCACGCAGATGCTGCGGGCGTCGAGGGAGTTGCTATACACCGGCTCGCAGCAAGTGGATTAATCGCCATCTGTTGCTGTCTGTACGGGGATCGAGTGTTGCTGCCTCGCGCGAGGCGTAGTAGGGTTTCCCCGGGTGCTCCGGTTCCCCATTGATTGGCTGAAAACGTCGTACAAATAGCAACCCGATGTGGCAGCAGGACCCCCGGCCGAGCGAAGTCATTTATAATGAAATTACTATAATCGCTTCGGTGCCGGAGTTGATCACTTGGCGAGGGGGTAGACGTGGAGTCCAGGGCGCACGATGGAGAGTCGGGGTCACCCTCGTGGGCGACCAGCGAGTGACCCCTCTTCCCCCCCCCACCCCCTCCCCCAGTCCTGCCTGTGCTGCTGTTGCGAGGGCAAGGCTCTGCTGGGGGGCCCTGGCCCACGGAACAAGGTCTTCTACAGCAAGTGGAGGGGGCGGGGGCCCCCCGAGTTGGGGGGCTCCGAGCGGAGCACGACGCGTTCCAGCCACAAGTACAGCTCCTCCTGAGCTACGGAGACGACGTGGAGACGACACGGAGACGACACGGAGACACGGGGACACGGGGACACGGAGACACGGGGACACGGGGACACGGAGACGTGGGGTGACGGAGAGACATAGACACGGAGACGTGGGGATGGAGGGATGGAAACACGGGGACGGAGACAGAGACACAGAGACGCGTGGAGACGCGGAGACACGGAGACACGGAGACGCGGAGACACGGAGACGTGGGGAGACGGAGAGACATAGACAATGAGACGTGGGGATGGAGACACGGGGACACGGGGACGGAGACATGGAGACGCGCAGAGATGCGGAGACGCGGGGACGCGGGGACACGGAGACACGGGGAGACGAAGACGCAGAGACACGGGGACTAAGAAGTGACAGCACGGAGACACGGGGAGACACGGGGACTTGGAGACTCGGGGAGACGTGACAGTACGGAGACACGGGGAGACACGGGGACTTGGAGACTCGGGGAGACGTGACAGTACGGAGACACGGGGAGACACGGGGACTTGGAGACTCGGCGACTCGTGGACTTGGGCACACGCGTGTACAGTGACACAAGCACAGAGGAGCGAGCGCGCACTCCGGATGAACCTCACCAAACGTCGCTCAGATCGACTCCTTCACTGGACGCTCACCCAGCTGCACTTGACCTCACTGGCGACATCTCCCTCCTGACCCCCCCTCCCCACTCGCACTCACTGTGCCCCCCACCGTCGGGCGGCCTGGAGCCGCCCCCCCCGCTTTCCCCTCCTCCTCCTGCCCCCCCCCCCCGAGAGAGAGAGGGGGGTGGGGGTAGACCCGCGGATCGGTCGTGTTTTTTTTTGTCGCGGTTTGATTCTCACACCGAGGAGTTGCTGTAATCTCCTCCACCCCCCCTCCCCGAAATAATTTGACGATGATGCAGCTTACCCCCCCACCCAGCCCCCACACGATCACCCCCTTGATGCGTACGCGCCCCCCCCCCTCCCCTCCCCCGCGCGATTATTCACCCAGTAGAGTAGAGGAGTAAAGGAAGAGTGTGATGATGATGATGACGGCGGTGCCAACTCTACCCATTGACTCTTGTCTCAATTCTGCAACGTGGCCCCAATGAGTCTGATGGGGACAGAGGTATGTGGGGGGGACAGGGGTACGTGGGGGGGACAGGGGTCTGGGAGGGGCAGGGGTCTGGGGGTGACAGGGGTACGTGGGGGAGACAGGGGTACGTGGGGGGACAGGGGTACGTGGGGGATAGAAGAACACGTGGATTATTACTCTTTGGTTTTTTCGGTAAAGTCACGTAGGTAAAAAAAGAAAATTTAAATATATTAAATTGCTGTATCAAGTGATACAGCAATTTTGCTGTGACGGTGCCACCTGAAGACGGAAGGTTGTGTTGCCTCCGAAACGTCGTGATTTAATTTATTTTAATTTTCTTTTTTTACCTACGTGACTTTACCGAAAAAAACAAAGAGTATGGACCCTTGCAGTCACGAAAACTTCAAATCTAGAACGTGGATTATTACATCGCATGATCGTGGGAGATGGCAGCGGGTTGGGGAAGCCTTCATCCAGCAGTGGATTGAGCAACGCTGATGGTGGTGAAGGTGAGTGTAGAATGCCACGAGCTGGGGGCGGGGGTTCAAGCGGCGTCGACTGTGGAACTGCTTCGGTTGTTCTGCCAGAAGGAAAGAAGTGATGGCGTGATTTGGCCGCATCAACCTGCGGTGTCCGTGATGACGAAATCTGTAATTTCACTCAAAGAGCTTCCGCGAGCCACCCCGAGGAGGTGGAGGGAGAGGAGAGGGGGTCACAGGAGGGGGTCACAGGAAGGGGGTTAAAGGGTCCCCAGATGCAGCCCCCTCACCCCCCCTCCCCTCTTCTCGAGTCTAGGAGCAGAGCGGTGGCACCAATACGTGCCCAAGCGCTGCGCCTTATCCCGTCTCTCCACCAACTCTCCCCATCACAGCCGCTCATCTCACCCCATCATCTCAAAATCATCTCATCCCATTATCGTCTGATTGCATCATCTCAACTCGTCAGCTCATTTGATCTTCTAAACCAGGAGAGTAGCGTGGTTTGGCATGGGTCTCCGTGGGGTGCACACCCCCCCCCCACCCCCCGCATCAAATTTCGTGACTGTTCTTCATAGCTCGGGGCTTGAGCCCCCCCCCCTTCTGGCCTGGCCAGTGGCACCCCCGGCGCTGTTCATGGCTATGGCACTCGCCTCAATCCATCCCATCAGCTCCTCCCATCACTCTGCGTCATCTCACTACATCGTACCACAATCTCACAGTCTCATCCCACCTCATCCCGTCTCTCCAGCACCCTATTACTCGATGACCCCACGTCTCGATCAGCCCATCTGGATCATCTCAGAGTCTCCCTTCTCTCAACCCCTCGCTCCCCCAACTCCATTCCTCGCCATTCCTGGAAACGTCTCGCTCTGATCACAACCGCTGCAGGACAGGAAGGGGGTTAGGTCCCTGGCACCCCCCCCCCCCAGCGCCTTCCCGCTTCCCCCCTCCCCACCACAGGAGCGAGGTGACTCCCCGCTCCTGACCCCTCTCCTCCCCCATCCTCCACCAAGACCCCCACGACTCAATGCGGGGTCTGTTCCCAGTGGTGCCCGAGGGGTATTCTATGGGACCCCAAATAGCCCCTCCCCCGCCCCCCCCCCCCCACACCACGGACAAGGGGACCCCCTGTGCCCGCGAACACGAGAGCCCCCGCTTCTTGTCAAAGAGGACACGGGACGCAGGGCCATAGTCTGGCTCCATGAGCCCCGCGAAGACAGCGACTCCTATCTCCACCCCCCCCCCATGAGGTCCCCCGCAGGATCGCTGTGGGGAGAGAGCCTCGTGCCCTCAAGACTTCCAGGAAGGAGCAAGCGCACGGGCTCGTGGAGCGAGACCAAACGCCGCACTCCATCAGAATTCAGAATGAGAGGCCAGAATTGAATTGCCCGGGGCAGCCACCGAACAACACAGCTACTCTGTCAAGGGCGACCCGGCCGGCAGACGCCAGCGCAGCAGGGCGTTACAAATCACCAGTTACACGTGACTTTAAAACAACCCGAGTTTAATTCTGACAGTTGTCGTCTTAAAAAAACAAACTGTTACGAACATCAACAGGCGGGCAGTGGGCTACGCTGCACGTGGCGCGCTGCCTGTAGTCCAAGCACCGTGGAGGCAGCAGCAGCGAGGGTTAGTGGAACACCGTGCGCGCACCTGGTGAAACTCCCTTCCCGTGCGCGTCGAGGAGGCGCTTGCACCCTGGTTCGCCAGGAGAAGGCGGTACAGCAAGTTGACTAATCGCCATCTGTTTCTATCTGTACGGGGATATAGCGGCTGTCTCCATGGCGCGCGCGCGTTTTCCCCCGGCTACTCTGGTTTCCTCTTCACGTGTGGAATAAGCAACACGCAGAAATAATTGGATGGAAACATAATAAAACTTACAGATAAACCCATGGCAGCAACCACTCCTGAAAAAAGATTCCTGTGTAGTTTTCCTGGATAATTCAAATTAATTAAGACAACATTCGCAGTTTAACACGGAGTAGGATTTCGCCTACTCCGTGTTAGATCGCGTAAATATATAAAAGTGTCGTTAAACCCGCCACCACCCGACACAGCCAACTAGTAAGGGTTGTCACGTACACAGAAGAACGTGGCCAAATCGTCAGCGGCGTGTTGGAGAGCCAAGCCACAACATTTGTCCCAGGGACGGGACCTTGGCCCAGCCACGGGGATCTCGCTATCCCAGAGCGACGCGCCCTGGATGGAGCCTCCTCCACTGGCAGTGTTCGTGAATCTCGAGATGACAACATCGAGGAATCTCGCTCCCAGTCTTCCTTCTTTCCGCGAGAGTCGTGCACGCGTCTCCCCCCCACCTCCCCCCACCACGGAATCTACTGCCACCTGCCCCCACTCTCACAGCCCCCCCACCCCATCCCAAAACAGTCCCAGGCTGCCCCCAGGCGCCGTTTTAATTGCTGGAGCAAAGGCGCCGCGTCTATCTTTAGCGGCGGCAGCGGCAGCAGCAGTAGATATTGGGCTCTGGAATGGAATGGTGAGATTGGTCACGGACCCCTCCACCCCCTCACCGCGCCCCCCACACGGGTCAGCCCGGTCAGCTACAAACATCACCATCATCTCATTGTTGCCACCACGTCTGCTTTCGCGACGGAGTTTTGATTCATAATTGATATTTTTTGGGGGGGTGGGGGGTGGGGTGGGATCTCGTGAGCACAGTGCCAATGTGTGTCGTACACCCTTCCTCCACCCGACACGGCCGAATAAATGTAGTGACATACAGGAGTTGTATTGTTTGCGTCTCAATGTCATCGTTAACTTGTTGCAACTGGGCACGACATGCAACTCAACTTAACTTTATTATTATTTAAACATTTATTGCCAACTAACGCCAACGCTATGCAGTTCGCTCGCTCTCGTCGAGAGGAGGACTCAAGAGGCGTGAGGAGGAGGCACAGTCGAGAGGCAGCATCAGCAGCAGCTACGCGGCGAGGAGCCGCCGCTACCAACAATTGGCAAAGCCCTGCGGTCCTCTACATATTAAGATGGTTTCAGCCAATGAGTGTTCATGCATGTGGGAGGAAACCGGAGCGCCCGGAGAAAACCCCACGCGTGCGAGGGAACAACGCTCTATCCCACACGGAATGGACGTGATGTTGGTCCGCACATGGCTCTACGGCCTTGTGGTGAGCCAGGGGTATGGGACCTCCTTGACGCTCGTGGGAAGGGAGTTTCGCAACATCTGTGCGGTGATCTACCAACCCTGGCTGAAGCCTCCTTAGTGCTGGATTACAGGCCGCGGGCATAGCCACCATCTCCTGGCTTCACAGACCAACCCTCACTCCAGCCATAACCATCGCATCAGCCATCACTATCACTCCTACACCCATCACACATCAACCATCACTCCCACATCCATCAAGTATCATCCGTTACCATCACTCCCACACCCATCACGCATCAACCATCACTCCCACACCCATCACTCATCATCCATTACCATCACTCCTACTACACCCATCACACATCATCCAATAACCATCACACGTCATCCGTTACCATCACTCCTACACCCATGACACATCAACCATCACTCGCACACCCATCACTCATCATCCATTACCATCACTCCTACTACACTCATCACACATCAACCATTACCATCACTCCTACTACACCCATCACACATCCAATAACCATCACACATCATCTATTACCATCACTCCTACTACACCCATCACACATCAACCATCACTCCTACACCCATCACACGTCATTCATTACCATCACTCCTACTACACCCATCACACATCAACCATCACTCCTACACCCATCACACATCTTCCATTACCATCACTCCCACACCCATCACGACTCATCCATTACCATCACTCCTACTACACCCATCACACATCAACCATCACTCCCACATCCATCAACCATTACCATCACTCCTACTACACCCATCACACATCAACCATCACTCCCACATCCATCAACCATTACCATCACTCCTACACCCATCACACATCTTCCATTACCATCACTCCCACACCCATCACGACTCATCCATTACCATCACTCCTACTACACCCATCACACATCAACCATCACTCCTACACCCATCACACATCAACCATTACCATCACTCCTACTACACCCATCACACATCAACCATTACCATCATTCCCACACCCATCATACATCATCTATTACCATCACTCCTACACCCGTCACACATCAACCATTACTCCTACATTCATCACACATCATCCAATAACCATCACTCCTACACCCATCACACATCAGCCACCACTATCGCTCCTTATTTTTACTGCGTGCAATCGCGAACAACAGCCATATATCAGACACGAGTACATCTAATCAGCATAATCATTGCTTCACTGCAGCTCAAGGACTCACTCCTACAGGGCGTGTGGTGACGTTACAAGATGTCCACGTGTGCGGAATTTGAAGGCCTCGAGACCAGAATCGGTGATTTCGCCGACAATGTGTTCATCGGGGAGGCAGTTCCATATCCGGGCAGCAGAATAAGAAGAATGGAGCTTCTGTCCAGGGAGCATGGACTGGCAAACTCGGGGTGGGGGGGGGGCAAGGCCGTGGCTAGGCAGGGTTCTG